AACGTAAGGAATTTTTATATTCCAAACTATCTTTCGGAGGAGACATTGGCCTAGTTTACACCGTGCGACCTAATCGCGACCTGACCTATGCCCTGACCTAAAATAGGCTTCTAAACAAAACGTTTACACCATGTAGACCTATGATACTTTTGGGTCGAATATAGGTAAAAATTTAGTCCTCATCTAAATGCCATCTGTTGAAGAAGATTGAAAGGTTTACGGACTTATACATAACCAATATCGTTTGTACACTTCGTACTTGCGCTATATAACCCAAAGGCAGGGTTGAAGGCGCTTTGCTCCTTTCCAAAGGAGCAGAAACCAAAAAAAAAAAAAAACACTTTGTACTTTGTATCGTGTCGATCGTGTCTATTTGCTGTGTTTGTTGAAGAAATATATTTGATTCATTTTCATCACAATGAATGCATTACAGTATACGGAACTTTTTAAAAGTATGATACAAATGATGGTAATCGAAAATAATAAACGACGAACTGCAAGGTTATTGAAAATTATACATAGAAGACAGCAAGTATGGAAAAGAATTCATTTACAAATTAAAAGATCCCTGAATCTGATTATGAATGTACAACATCAAATGTTGCTACCACCTATGAATCTTGCGGAATTCTGCTTTGTCTCGAATAGACGTCTTTGGATGAAACGTAGAAGTTATCATTTTTGGGATGACATCGTTTTGAATACATATGATGATGCACAGTGGCTTGAAAGTTTTAGAATGCGCAAGGATACATTTAATAAATTATGTGATATTGTTAAAAGAGAATTAGAACCAAAACCTATTTTTTTAAAGTCCAGAGAACCACTCTCGGTGCAAAAACAAGTGGCTGTTGCTCTATACAAATTGGCAAGTTGTGCAGAGTATCGAGTAGTCGGTAATATTTTTGGTATCCACAAATCTACGGTGAAGAAATGTTTATATAAAGTTGTGAATGCCATCAATAACGTGATGATGGCAGATTACTTACATATGCCGAACGAATTCGAAGCTGTTGAAATAGCAAATAATTTTGAAAAGAGATCTCACATACCCCAAATTATTGGTTGCATAGACGGATCGCACATACCGATTCTGGCTCCTGCTGACGGCTATAGAGATTATGTGAATCGAAAGGGCTGGCCTTCATACAATCTCCAAGCAGTTGTTGATGACAAATGCAGGTATGCAAGCAATACATACTATCTTTATGTAATCATGTTTATAAATCATTAGTTATTCATATTTTACATTTATAGATTTAGAGATATTTGCATCCGACATCCAGGAAATACTCACGACGCTGCGGTGTTCAAAGATTCTAATTTATATAAAAATGTACATACACTAATTCCACAGGTACGAAAAACATTCAACTTATTAAAGTAATCTATTTTTCATGTATAACAGGTAAAAGTTTGTTCCTATACATGTTCCGGTTCGAAAATACGAATAGATTTATTTTATGTTGAACAATTTTAAAGAATATGTTCCAATTACTTTATTAATAATTCTTACAGTCAAGCAAAAATATTGATGGTATGGAAGTGCCATATTTGATTATTGGAGATCCAGCGTATCCGCTGTTACCATGGCTAATAAAAGGCTATCCTGGTTCAGTGACTCCCGAACAAGATTCTTTTAATGTTCACTTAAATTCAGCTAGAATTGCTGTAGAAATGGCTTTTGGCAGATTGCGAGGACGCTGGAGAATTCTTCTGAAGAGACTAGATGTATCACATACATTTGTTCCGAATATAACCAGCGCGTGCTGCATTCTACATAACTTTTTAGAATACACAAATGAACACTTTGTGCAGCAATGGTTTGAACATGTGGCTGATGCAGAAATACTGTTTCCACAACCAGGACATGTAATTAACCGGGAACGCAACAATATTTTGGGTTCAGACATTCGTCAGCATTTAACAACATATTTATCGCAAAATTTTCCTTTACGCCGAAGTATGCTGAGATAGCTATTAAATGTAAACTTAAACGACTAATGAAAACTTATATCTTACATTCCAATTAAATAATTGCATATTGAGCATGATATTCATCACATTTTTTTTGTTGCTTTACTTTGCAAAATCCCCTTATTTTAATAATCTGCGCTATTATTA